AAGAAAGAAAACAGAAGAGAAACAAAAATCAAACGTCACACACAAATCATTTTGGTGCAGTTCGGTTCGAAACGGTAACGGCCAAGATGGCGGAGAAATAGTCAAAAGCGAGTTGATCGCGACTCAAGATATGTCTGTCCGGATGCTAAACGTCACTGTGCTCCCGTCTGTCGTACGATGATTTATTTCGCGTGATTGAGCTCACTTGAAAATCAAAAAGAACAGAAGAAGCAGCAGAAGAAAAAAATGGAGAAGAGGAGAGAAGAGGAAAAAGAAGAAAGAGAAGCAGAAAGAGAAGAAGAAGAAGAAGAAGAGGAAAAAGAATAACAAGAAAAAGAAAGCGTGAAACAACACCGATCGGTACCAAAATACGAGTCTCGAATACTGATCCGTTTAATTCGTAAGGAAAACAATTGTACATATGTATCTAAGATAGCTGTATATAATATATACACACATCACACACGCGCGACACGAGTATACTTCTAGACGTAACGCGGGAAGGTTGTTAAACGTGCTGTATCGAATTTCAAAACACTCGAATCACCTCGGTTGTCATAGATCTTTATTGTTACTTGCACGGTTGAAGTGTGTCTATTCGTTTGTATCGTTCAATTGAAGACTAGATTCACGTCACAGCCCTCCGATCGAATAGAAAAAAAAAGGTTATGTTTACGAAGGGGCCTCTCTCGCAAACGATATTTAATTTCGCTTGAAAATAAACCGTGAACTTGTTGAACGCGTCTGGTTGGTACCTGGGTCCGTTTCGAGCTTGATTTTGAAAATCTATATCCGAGTTCTCTATTTACCGTAACCGTAATTATATAGGCTCTATATTGTATCTGATAGGAAGACTGGTGTATCTCGAAGAAGTACGTATTAAAACATATTTACAGAAAGAAGATGGATAAAGACGTAAACGGAGCCAGGTATCGCGAGCCACGCGGTTCTTAGAAACGTCTGTCATCCGAGGGTTAACTTCCGGCTTGAAATTGTCACGTGTATCATTAACCGCGCGTTGAAACGATTGATTGTTTAAAAGAAATATGAGAAATCTTGTTATACGTTACCGTTACTTTGATGTTTGAAAGGTGAACAGCACGCGAGACGACCTTCCATGTAAACAGCATCGGTGGCCAATTAGAAAAGCGCCAATCACAGTTCGAGATCTAGATTTAAAAAGAAATGGCTGAACGCTGGATTAATTGGCGATCGATACGACGGTCATCGAAATCCAAAATCCGCACGGGAGTCACGGAACCGTGAATTTCAATGAGAAAAAAAATGGAATTTCCGTTTTTACCTGTTGGACAAGTTTTTTCGGAGATATATATGATATAGATTTACCCGGGGGATGGATTCGAATGACGCTCGAATAATTGCCGAGTTTCTTAAACCATGAACGTACGTAATACCTCAGAGCCATTACGATAACGATACGTAAAGTAACGAAAGATTTTGTGATTCGCGGTGTATCGTAGATTATTGCCGAGACAGTGGTAATTTCATACGACAAATAATGAAGTATATACATACGAACGCGAGTATTTCTGTACGTCGACACGGAGGAAATTGTTTCGAACCACGGCAGCCAGGAACTTTCGTTTTCCCTTTGTACACCATCCGAAACGGTTACACCGGAACATTCGATAGATATCGATGTATCTAATTTTCGCGCGGTTCGCGATTTCATTCGATAATTGGCGCCGCCTGTCGATCTTCGATTTCTAAACTTGTTCGTAGAATTAAAAAAAAAGAGAAAAAAAAAGAGGAAGAAGAAGAAGAAGAAAAAGAAGAAAGAAACAAGAAGACTTTTGTATTATGATTCCGGTAAGAAGAAGATTTTCTAAAATTAATTAAGGAGACCATCGACGAGCATTAAGGAATCAAATGATAGTTTATGTTTTTAAGACAGCCTCGAGTATGTCGTAAGGAAAACCGTACCGACCTGTACGTGAAAGTATACGTATCCAACAAGGGAACTTTAATCTTTCGATATATCGCGCGAATACGAGGGAATTTTCTTCGAGGGCACAATCGTTTCTCGCCGTCTTCGAACTTTAACGTATTTTACGATCTCCGTTGGACGGACGTGAAGGGAATGGTGTGAAAAATCAAAATTCTACGGGTCGAAATTAATATTTTTCATGGCTGTAAAACAGAAAGGTAAGAATAAATGAAAATACGTTGGAAATTGGTCGAGGAAGGTTCCCCCGTCGAATAGGACGCGTATTTAAATAAAGGTTTTTAATACTTCAAGTTTTAACGCAATTTTCATCGAAGTCATTTTCAATGCGAAGACAGTCTTTTTCGTCTCGAAGTTGACATTAACTTATTTTACGCGCATCGAATGCTAGGACTGTGTTCGTATTATGATAGTTGTTAGCGGATCAACGTTTCTCGGTCGCTGGAAACAGGAAAAATAATCACGGGGATCGAATTTTTCGCGATGGGAGGGAAGAGAGAAGTACACATTGTACACGCTTACTGGGAAACATGTATATGTATTTCAAGACGTCTTTATGCAAAATTGATGAATGTTTTACGTGTACTGAAATGTTCCCTTTTAATCCTATTAAGACTTACAAAATATAAGTATTATACTTTACTTGTATATATACATATGTGATAAAAAATATATATATATACACCTGGTTTTTCATGTCATATTTATATTGTATCCTTGCTATTTCTTAATGTGAAGGTAGTCGAATTAACGAGTATGTATATTGTCTATTAAAAAAAAGAGGCATCAAACGTATTACCTTTATTTATCAAAATTATCGATTCAATTTATTGAACACTTTCGTAGACGTTTCTAATATTACATTTTTAACCTATACAAATAGAAACCAACACGACAATGCACCAATGTAACATGTACCTACATACGTATAGTACTTTCGCCACTAACATCCATTGCTTCGCTAAATTCTTGTTGAATGGATTTCTGTACGATACATGTAACATAGAAGGTGTTACGCATAATACTTGAGGTCCTTTCTATTACCAATAATTACATCACATGTTTATAAATAATATTTTTTTAAATTATATATTCTTGTGTACAAACTTTACTCGGATTTACAAAGATCAAAGGTAGATATATTAAATAGAAAAATACACTTTAAGCCAAAAATTGATACAATTTATACTGTATATACTTAATACTTATTACTTAAAATTATATTGTTAAATCATTGAGATCAGAAAATATAATTCAATTTTTATGTTTCCTGAAACTGCGTTTCTATAGATGAATAACAATTTCATTGGACGAAGAAGCTGAAATTCTGCTGCAACAAAATATTAAGGCACCTTCATGTCTCATTTGACGGTATCACGTTCAATTCAGAAGCAGTACTAATACTTGGTAGGGTGCTATCGCTCCAATCAGGATGTGGATAATTCCTTGGTGGGCTTGGTACATTCACCGGCATCCTACTTTGAACTCTGATATCATGGAATATATTATGGAATTGTTCCGATATACTAGAACCCAACAAATTATGAGGTGAATTACTTTTTATTACGTTAGACCCATGAATTACGCCAGACTTTTTTTCTAAATTTTGCTTTTTATGCAACGTTAAAGACTTTTGAGTATCCAAAGGATCTTCTGTGCGGGCTTTAGTCTCAGACAACTTTTCTGGGGGCGAACTTAAACTCTTGAAATTACGTAAATTATCACCTCGTTTATGAATCAACATTACATCTTCTTTCCCTTTATCCACTGGAAATATAATATTATATGTACAACATCACTACAGCATATCTAGAACACACACACACATACACAAGACGTTTCATGCAGATATACCTATCTGACTATTTTCTGTGTAGCCAAAATCGTTGTAAGAAGGCAGCAATGTGAGCGAGGATTCGCCGCAAGGTAAACTAACGAATTCCAAATTAACAGAATCTTTAGTCTGAGATTCTTTGACATTCTTAGTTCGCTTTTTCGCCAAATTCCCAATATGGCTTTCTGAGGCGGTCGTTATTTTTTCTGGTTTTCGCATAAATCTCTGGTCTATATTTTTCGGTGGTTCGTGACCAACAGTAGACAAAGAAACATCTGATATATCGTGCCAAGAAGTAGGCGAATTAGATTCTCGGGTAGATGTAGAAGTTGGCGAGGAACACGCAATACCCCCGTGTACCAATGAAATTTGAGGATTAGTACTTTCTTCGTGAACGTACATATTTAAACTACTCAGTTGGTCTCCAATCTGATTTTGCAACTCCCTGTAATATGTAAAAGTTGTTTACTACGTAAATCCATTAAGACATATTTGAATTGAATCAATTGAAATCAGACTAACTTAATCGAATTCCGAAGTTCAACCAACAATGAATCCTTGAACGTGCATAAAACTGACAATTTATCTTTCTCTAGTGTAAGGTATTGCACTTCTAAATGCCTTTGTCTTGCAAGCTCAGTTTGTTCAGCGAGATTCGTTCTCAAATCCGATATGATTTTTTGAGAAAATTCGTGACCCTTCATCCCTTCTTTTAATTCGGTTATGGTCTTCTCTCTAGTTTGTATCGTCTTCGTTGCTTCCTCCAATTCTTGTTTCAATGTTTTCACAGTCGTTTCTAAGTCTAATTGCCTTTCCCGAGCTTCGTTCAACAGTATGATTTGTTTATGAACTTGTCTATTCGAAATAAAAAAAACCTTTCAAATTAGATTCAATATTCAATTCTGTCGATATTTTTAGTTGTTTCTTTTGTTAAAATAATATACCGTTTCAAGGAGTCACGTTCGTTGCGCAACGTTTCGCATGCGGCATTCATTTTCCTGCTTGTTTCCTCCAACTGGAGTGTGCTTGCTTCCAATTTCGTTCGAAGTGCTATGGCTTCTGAATCCTATAAACAAATACTCTGTTAATATACATTATCTTAACCTTTCTCTAGTAGTTTCCAATAAACGCACCATGACAAATGGTTTTTCAAATTCTGTTGATATTCTAAGCAACACTTGTTCCATATCAGTTAATATCTTACTAGCTTTGTCATCTTTTACCAAGTCCTCTAACTCTTTCATTAAAAATCCTAATGTACGAACTGGATTAAATGCTCCGAATCTGTCATCGTTAGAATCAAATATTCCACCACATTGTGCCCCTCTATCATAGACTAAAATAGAATCCACAGAGCTTGGAAGCGATGTGGTGGATGGATGTGGTGTACGTGGTGTGACTTTTATCTGCTCTTCTAGTTTCTTCTGCGAAACTGATTGTTTAACAGGAATTTCGTCCAAATGTTTATGCTGTATACAATAAATAAATGAAACATACAATGCCTTATCAAATTTATATGCATGAAACAAACAACTTGCACACTAACTTCATGCTTTCAGTAACTTACAGATTGCTTCTTCGAGTCTTTAGCATCAGATACATGCTTCGATGACTTTGAAGTAGGAGCACGTACTGCAAAATGTTGTAAACTTTGTTTCATAGTTGCTTTGTTTTGTTCCCTTAGCACTCTACCCCAGCTTAGATGAGAGTCTCCACTGTTACCAGGCTTCCTTTTCTCTTCTACTCCTTTATGACCACTGCTGACCATTGTTGATGTACGTTTACGCCCTGTTGCTTGGACAGTAACTTCAATCAAGGTATTACAATTGTCAATTAAGACCACACCGTCTGGAGGTACTTTAGAAGTAGACTATAAGTATATAAACATAATTAATTTCTGCAGAGTATTAGATCCGTATATAAATAATCTTCCAAATTAAAAATTACCGGAAGTTGTTTATTCTCTATTGTATTTTTGTCAGATTTAGTGGCAACAGTTTTGCATGTAGCATTTGTCTTGCTGCTCATTATGCTAAAAGATTTAAAAAAAAACAATTTTAATTTTTCCTAAATATACCGAAAATAAACCGATTTTTGACAGTTAGGATTCGTCTAACCTGACACTTGGTTGAATTCACATTTATTGGATATCGGAAAACTCATCGTAATAAGGTATGCTGTTTACCAACATATTTGTCATAACTCTCAAAATATTATATCATCTTACATGATTAAGTAATTTAAAGAAATCATTTTGTCCGAGTAACATGTAGTGAATTACGAATTCGTAAACAGCATAGACAAGCACATGTATGTATATATACAATGTGCACTATTAGATTTAACCGTCATTTACGGTTTCATTTAAATTATATGTTCTTTATTCGTTTTGAATGTAAATTCAATGCTACATGTAAAATATTATTTTCAACTGATTAACTTTTCGCACATTGAAGCGGTCAAATCATATAAACGCGCGTTTAGAAGTAACCCACTAACGTAGCTAGTATCAAATTTCGATTTTAACAGGCATACCTTCTTTGGCTTGATAAGTGAATTATTTCTTAAATGTAAATTACATAAAGTAGGGCATGGAAAGTAATTGTTTTTGTTTAACAGAAACAGAACTTTGTTACATTTGTAATAAAGTTTTATTTACGAATTATCATACATTATATTACTAAATTTAAAACAAATATAAATCCTTTGTAGATATAAACATTTGTACATAGAATTCTGTTTACATTTAAATTATGTAGTGTAATTAAACGATTCTGTTAGCTAATTACACTATTTATTAAGTTTTAATAATATATTAAAAATTTCGCTTCTGTGTTCACCTAAAATTTCATAAAATTGATCAAAAAATAATTTTGCAGATTCTTCAATGTATGCCTTCCTTCTCTGTACTGCAGCTAATTTATCTGTTGTTTCATTCAATTCTTCAGTAATTGCTTGTCTGTCTGGTATGGAATTTTGTAGTTCCTTAATATCATTTTGTAACACTTTTATTTGTTCCTTTAACTTTGCTTCTTCATTCTTAAAGTCTGTTTTAATTTTATTAATACGACTTTTCTTCTCTTTAATCTCATTGGCAACATCGCTACTCTCATCTTTCAAAATTCTCATCTTCTCCTGAAGATCTTCCAGCTGACTGGAATCTAGTTCTATTGTATGTTCTTTTTCAGTAATTTGTTTCTGCATTAGTTCTTTGAATTGATTCATCAAATCAGCTTTATTCTGCAATATTTCCATAATTTGGGGATCCAAAATCCCAGTTTCTGGCATTTTTAATTCTTCTAAATCAATGCCCATGTCACCATTGAGGTGCATCAATATTTCTTTATTATACGTTAAAATTACCTTTGTTAAGTTATGATTAACTGATGCTAAATTAATGTCCATTGTAAATATTTCTTTTTCTATATCCTGTAAATGTTCATCAAAATGCTGCATATAATCCTGTATTTTTTTGCACTCTTCTAGTACTTTATCCTTTTCTGTTTTAGACATTGGTTGCTGTTTAATTGCTGAAACTAATTCGTCGTGATGTACCTTTTGCAAACGAATTTGTTCACACAAAATATTGCAATCAGCTTTCTTTTGCTCTGTATCAGAGATAATTGTTTTTATATAATCCTCTTTTGCTCTAATATCAGCTAATTGCTTTTTCTCATCATTTTGTAAATCCATGAGCTTTCTATGTAAGCATTCAACTTCTTCATCAATCTTACATGCTTCCTCTTCAACAGCTTGGAATTTAGCTGCTTCTTCCTCCAATTCAGACCGTGCAATATTTAATTCTTCTTCACTAACCCCATGTTGATCTTCAAGTTCTTGCAAATATTTCTCAACCATTGCTGCTTCTTCCTCAAGTTTTACATCATTCCAAGCATTATAGAAATCGAGCATAGAGAAGAAAGTTTTTTTATACATATTAGCCTGCCTTTCATCACCTACGAAAGGCAAGTTATCTAAATTATAATTCTCAAAAGCTATTTCTCTCACTTCACAAATTTCCACCAACCAGCATATCCATCGTAAAACATTAGGCCACGAGTGCATAGCATTAGCAGTTTTTAACCATGATTTAGTAATAACTCCAGGATAATGTAACTTTTTGGCAATTTTTGGTAATTCCTCCACATAATTATTAATTGTTAGAATTGATTTAATGTCCACCGTTTTAACTAAATAAGCAGAAATTTCTACAAACATTTTCAAAGTAACAGGTTTTATGCTTCCATTGCTATTAAGCATTAAAGTAAGTTTATTCGTATTAAAATATGTATCTATTTTATTGAGCATATAAGCCTGATAAGTTTTATCTGTCAAAGGTCTTGTATCTTTTTTAGAACCCTTAGCACCCAGGCTGCTAACACGATCAGCAGATAAAGATCTACGTCCTACTGGAAGAGCTGAGTGAAATCTGTTAATGTTTCCAATTGAACTGAAAGCAGTATGTTTCCCTGCACTTTTACCCGGTGTCATTGGAGTCGCTGTTCCATGACGAAGAGGTGTTTTACCTATATAAAAAGAATTTTAGCAATTGTAGATTCATTACATATAAATTCACAATACAGGGTGACCCAGGTTTTTTCGGCAAAACTGCGAGACACTCTGTATATAAATCTTCAACTTGGTAACATTTAACGAAAGAGATAATCTTCGTTTACCTTGGTACTTACCTCTAGTACTTGTTCTGTCACATGATGAAGTTCGAAGTCGAGCTCTGGGAATCTGAGAATTTTCAGCAGAGGATATAGAAACCTTTGGTTTTAATGTTTGAGGCCTCCTTGAATCATTCCGTGTTAGACTTTTTTCTTCCCTGTCGAGCGTGGATATTCTAACTGGATTCGTAGATGACCTACGACTCATTGAATTCTTGTGCATTTTTAACAAAGTAACTTTAAACTTCTCTTATGAAACGCTACCTCTAAATATTTTGAATTTCATCGTTGCGCGCTAAAGTATACACAAACAACAAGATAGGTAACGCGTGTTATTCGTATAACATGGTAAATCAGGGCTGTCGAATTGGAAGCTTGCAAGTTCTATAGTGACTTTCTCCTCACGGAGAGTTACTCTCTCCATATCTACTTTCACCTGTTCGTATTGAACACCATTCGTGTTATTCACCAGAAAAACTATGAAAGAAATGCGGGTTTCACCTTCCTTCATCTCATTTTTGATACTAATTTGCTATTGATCAATATGTCACATTTAAGTAATTAAAACTATAATCAAAATCCCTAGCGAGAGATCTTCTCTTGTTCCTATATCGTTCTAGGGCTCTTCTGGGATTATTATTTACGAGTTACTAGTGTGAGGAGAGTCAGTTCGAAAACTCTAACCTACAATTAATAAGATGAGAACATTATAACTGTCTAGTGATAAAAAAGTGAACTAACATATTTGACATTTGTTAGATAGGCTAGAAGAGTTTGATATATAAGTCATATAAGTAAGTAAATAAAAAGTTTTAAATGTTATATTTATGTATTAAATTCATTCTTCTTCTAGCACAATTACAGAATTTACTAATACAAAATGTTAAAATCCATGTCTAACACGCTTTGTAGCGTTAAAATACAAAAGGTAAGAGTGGCCAATTTATCTCATATTCTATTTGATTTTTATTTATAATATACAATGTAAGAGAGAAAAATTTACTTACATAGCACTTAAGGTTTCCTTTATCTCAAATATACTCTGACTCATTAGAACAGAAAATTCTAAGAGATAATAATTATAAGAATTTGGAAAATGAGAAATGTACAGCAGAAAATGGAAACCAGGAGAAGTGAGTACAAATGAAAATAATTTAGTAACACGTCAGTTTGTTAAAATTCAGTTTTTAATTATTTTATAATAATTGACCTTCTTATCTTAGATACTTTGAGGAAGCACATATTAAAATAATAACACCGCATTGTAATAAAAATGAACCTTTGGAGGTGAGAAATCCTAGCACAACAGTTAAAAACAGAGTCAATGAAAAGTATAATATAACACCTAAAGTAAAATGGACTGAGGTAAAGATATATTATCTATAAAATCTTTATAATCAAGTTCCAAGCAATGCTCTGCAAAAATATATAATTATTGTCATGTCATACCACAAACAATTAATATTATGGTTTTACAATTATGTAATTTTATACATTACTGGTAGAGTCCAAAAACAGTATTGGCATTTCACATTGGTGTCAATATAGTAAGCTGGGCATATGTAAATTCTACCTTTGAGGTGTTAGAATGGAAATGGGAAGATTGGTGTGATGAAAAAACAGTAACTACTACTACATATGAATTAATCAATACGGTGAGTATTTAGATATTTTAGATATACACTAAAAACATCTTCTGATCATAGCTAACTGTATTTCCTATTTTATATTAGATATCACATATAATTACCATGTTGCCTACAGCTGATACTTACGTAATAGAAGACAGTACAGTTTCGGCGAGATCTAAACATATAAAAAAGATGATCATTCAACAGCATTTGGCCGTTTCTATAATGTCTTGCATCCAATTAAAAAATGGTATGTTCATACCTTAGTAGTAATATTATTTTCCCACTCGCTAGAATATTAAACACAATGTTCCTTACGTCTGTCATCATCAGTAACAGAAAATATATACATACTGCATCCTAAGACAACAGCACGTTGGTTCAAGATGATCGTTGGATCTGAAGCAATATCTACAGAGCCTATTGTGACATCGTTGCTAGAGAATGAGGAAGGCTATAATGGAATAAGTGTATCTATAAGCGAGAAAATCAAAAACGACTATATGGAAATGAACAAACCAGAAAGAGAACAAATTAACTGGTCTCTATTAAAAGCCATAACGTTTTTATCTATAACTGGGGAAAGGGCGAGGTCAAAAGTTTCAGGAAAGTAATAATGTAAATATTGTAAGAAAAATAAATTGACTTTACAAAACAAAAGCTTCATTAATGTAACTGGAATACAAGAAACGACGCGCAAAATCTTTGCAATCTCTGATTACGACGACTCGATCAGAGAAGCGGCCGCTGTGCTCGCCGAAAGGGGGACGAAATGGAAAAACAAAGTGGATACTAATACGGAGTAATGCGTGATAGGTGTACAGGTCCATTCATTTATTATATATTAATTTTCATTATACTATCTATTCATAGTACACTGTACGTCTAATGTTTCTCGCTTCTCGAATACGAACTCGCCTCGGGCAAATAAACAGACAAGTAACGTTTCGTCACAATGGTAATGGGGCGGATGATTCGCATCCGCCGAATATATACGTGGTACGCACCATCATGGACACCATTTTGAGTAAGTATACGAGAGCAAGATGTCAGAGTAGTGACTGTTTCGTGAACATATAGTCAACGAATTTGTACGATCAACTAAAAAGTACAGGTCTCGCGATCTCTCTGCGCCGAAACTTCGTAAATCGTCAAATTAGGTAAGGCTCATCGGAAAAGATAGTAACACCGCTACTTAATCCGGCAGTGATGCTGTATAAGAAGCATGTAGCTACGTATCATTGTCTAATCGAGTACGGGTAAAGCACACCGCGTAGATACCTCGCTTGTTGTACGTGTCCCCGGAAAATTTCGCTTTTCAGTGCGATCAACATCGACCACCATCGACGCACCACTTCCAACTGGCAATTGCCTTATGAGAGAACCAAACGGAGAAGACTGTTCATTCGATACGGAAACGGGGATGAATTAGTATCCATGATGCGCACCGATTCGATTACCACTCGCCTACGTTCACGTGTGCCGGAAAACTTGTGCCTCTGAACCGATCGCTCCTACCAAGACTAGTACGAATCTAGACCGCGGATATTTATGCACTTAAAGCTGGACTGATTCATGGAGATCATAATGGTAATCAAAATTAAGTTTCAAAGGTAAACACCTCGGTTAACACACTGAACGCCGAACGATTTCTACATCAAAATACACAAAATGAAAAAATCATTTGATTGAATTGTATTAGTATTGCACGTTCATATAATTGAATATCACTGCATTAGTTAGCATTATTCATAGAAATGTTCAAATAATCGTTTCGAGTGACCTATAGTAATTCGATTCGGGTCACCGGTGACCCATGGCATTCAACGTGTTGAACTACTCGTATCATCGAATATATTCAAGTTTCTCAAATCCATGGACACTAAAAATGCATAAAATCCGCAGCCCGCGCACGACGGAAACGCAAATGGACCGGAAGTGATACCAGCCGATCGAAGCCGATATTTCCTGACGTGTCGGTGGTGCTTGCACGGAAACAGAAAGGCGATTCGCAATGGAGGACAATTGGAACACCGATTCCCGTAATTCGGCCAGACAAACGAACGTTCGGCGTGCGCCGACTGATTTTAATCAAGGATCCCCCGTTAATGAACCGACGCTTAATTCATCCCGTTTACCGGTCCCATGTAATCGCGCGTATAAAACGTGCCTATGTACGTGTCGAACAACGAAAGCACCAAAACCACCTCCGGCACCGTTTCACCGCTCTCATTGCCAATGGACTACGGATTCACTAAACTGTCGTCGACATGACAGTGTACGCTATACAATAAAACTATACGTGAGATTGCACGCGCCACTTTCTCGCATAACTCCTGTTTTACTCGCAATCGCATCGCTGCCAGGTTAACGCAATTTATAATTATTAAAGTAATACCCGATCAGACCAGCTGGAAACGAGTCTCGACATATAATATGTATATCGACATATCTAATATATAATTCTGTGTATATATAATATATCTATATGTATATATACGTATGTAC